GGAAGACTGCGTGGGCGGGAACTGAGTGTGGTTAAAGGAGGGGAATCCTGGGGTGAAAGGGTCACCTGACCCTAAGTGTACCTGTGAATGTCAGGAATAAAGAAATAGACAAATATTGGCCACCTCAATCTAAAAAAACTAGTCCAAAGCTTCACACACTGGGAAGCAACGTGTCTTAGCTATAGTAGCTAAGTGGTTCATTAGTAAATGTATACCTAAGACTCTTTACTATGTCGGTTATAAAGCTTATTCAAACTGACAAAATTGTGATATATGGTTGACTGTGCAAATATCTGTAATAAAAATGAATAGTGCTAATTCTGCAAAATGCTCATTTTTGCATTAGCATTGGGTGATCTTTTGGTAATTCACAGAGAGGAGTGTGATATACGCCCCAAGCTCAGAGATGCATGTGTTGATCAGTACTCACATGCTCACAGATGCATATGTTGATCAGTACTCACATGCTCAGAGATGCATGTGTTGATCAGTACTCACATGCTCAGAGATGCATGTGTTGATCAGTACTCACATGCTCAGAGATGCATGTGTTGATCAGTACTCACATACTCAGAGATGTATGAGTTGATAGGTACTCACATGCTCAGAGATGCATGTGTTGATCAGTACTCACATGCTCAGAGATGCATTGTGTTGATCAGTATTCACATATTCAGAGACGCATTGTATTGATCGGTACGCACATACTCAAAGATGCATGTGTTGATCAGTACTCATATGCTCAGAGATGGATGAGTTGATCATTGCTCACGTGTTCCAAGATGGATGTGTTGATCAGTACTCACATGATCAGAGACGCGTGCATTGATCAGTACTCACATGATCAGAGACGCGTGCATTGATCAGTACTCACATGATCAGAGACGCGTGCATTGATCAGTACTCACATGATCAGAGACGCGTGCATTGATCAGTACTCACATGCTCAGAGATTGATGAGTTGGAGCTGAGTCCCAGTCTACGGGGGTCCTGGGGCACATCAGCAGGGTCAGGATAGATGAGTACCCCCCCAAGCCCTGCTTGTTGGGCATGCCACACTTTCTCTGCATAACTCACGCCGCCACCGACTCTCACCACTGCCAAAGCACCCGCTAGTGACAACCCACGTGAAAGCAGAAGACGGAAATCTTCCTCCCTGCCGTAATTCACATAGACTACACTACCCTGAGGGAGGAGATTAATACATTTATTACTCACACGTACATGTACATACACACAGAGACATGATGCACACATTTTGTTCTAGTTTCCCACTGCATTTAGAGTCCTAATGTCCCTAAGATACTTGTTTTTCTTATAACGTTATCCTTGTGATGGCACATTCTTAAAATTTGCCCATAAACACATAATCAAACACAGAGAAAAGTCTACATAGACATACCATGGCTGTTCCTGTTCCACTATAAGCACAGTAAGCCTGAGTAATTTCTGGTGAGAGGTCTTCCAGCACTGTGCCCTGCTCATCTATTACCCACAATGAGTTCTTCTGGGTCCTAATAAAAAAAACAGTAATTAAGTGAAAAACACATTGTTATGCCATCCTGAGAAGAGGAGGATATCCTTCACTTTTGATCAGACCCATTACTGCAAGATCAAATCTATTTTCTGGAAGATTCAGAACTTCATAAGCAATAGTGATGGCCAAATGAAGCTTCGTGAACCATTTGCTGTATTTTTTGACCCCACTAGATGGGGCTCTTGGTTAACTATGGGGCATGCATTGAGTCCTTTTTTGAACAGACAGCACCATCTAGTGGAGTCAGAAAATACAGCAAGTGGTTCATGAAGCGTCATTTGGCCATCACTGATAAACAGTGTTCGTCTAATTTAATCATCTGGATGATTATGTACATACCAGTTAGATATAAAATCTATGTGGGCTCCCTTATTAAAATACACCATAATAAATTGAGGAAAGGTACATGCAAATCATAAAATCAATACTGAGAAACTGATCCTGGGATATTCACTTGGATGGGAACTGCAAGGTGGCGTAGTGCGAGTCTGTCCAAGTGTGGTCCATTCGCAGCTGCCGAAAGTTCTGCAGGATCTCGCTGGCCAGCTCGCTCCCTTCCAAGGACCCCGGTGGGTGGGCTGCCCTGCTCACACGCCTGACAAGCAGAACAGTTAGCCAGTTCACAGTTAAGGACGCTATGACAGGTGTTGCGGATAACATGGAATTGTAGCACTTTATTTAGCAGACACTTCTATCCAAAGTGACATAAAATTGATAGAAGGGTCATACAGTCCCTGAAGCAATTTTGGGGTTAATTAAGGGCCTCTCCCAAGGGCCTAAAGCTGAAATCATTCAAACCCATGACCTTCGGATTCTGGACACAGAATTAACCTGCCTAGCCATATTCCACCCTAAACATGCATGTAATTCTTGGGAGGTCCTGAAAGCATGCAGACCACTGCCATCCACATATTTTAATGCATCTCAATTTATTTTAATGCAGTACAGATTTATATTGCAGTTTTATTAAAGGACCTCTGCCTGGAGCTGCCCCCCTCCAATCATATAAAATGGGCTGCAGCTTTCCCTGGGTCCGGGCTTGTGGTGAGACCTTCACCTGATGGTGCTCTCAATCTTCTCCTCTCCCAGGTACTTCCTCAGCATGTCCTTCAACTCCCCCAGGTACATGATCCTCCCAGCAGAGGAGTGCTCTGACCCGGCTGTGTCGTCATCCACCGGCACCAGCTCCCCGTCCGTGTCACTGCAGTAGTTGCAGGACCCACGGAACGCCACGTAACCCAACAGGAATGCTGCAAGAAAAAGGGGACTGGACCCTCAAACAGCCGGCATGACCCCAGTCGGGTCAAATAGGGCAGGTGGGTTCGTGTACGCAATCGGTGAAAATCATGTTTATGGTTAGATGATTCAATTTGTTAATTTTATATTGTATTTTTAGCTTATACTCAGTTCTGATTAATGCAATTTCTTGAAGCATTTCTACAATGTTATATTTATAAAGAACACCACTGTCTCTTATACGGCAGTCAAGCAGTTGCTGTATGGAGGGAACAGTCAATTCTTGAGCCAACGATGTCAACCAATCAGGTGTTCCTGTGCCCATTAAGGTCACACATAAGAAGCTCTCCCATAAGCAATCTCTTAAGCGATTGTCCAGGAAACAGAAGTAGGAAAAGAAATGCTTTTCGTAAGATATATTTTTAGAGTCTTCGTAAGATGCTAAGAGTCATGATTATTGGGAAACGCACCCCTGATCCCTGTGGCCTGAACCTACGGGACCAGGATCAGGACCTGAGCCCTGGGGCACGAACCTAAGGGGACCAGGATCGGGACCTGATCCCTGCGGCACAAACCTAAGGGGACCAGGATCGGGACCTGATCCCTGTGGCCTGAACCTTAGGGGACCAGGATCGGGACCTGATCCCTGTGGCCTGAACCTTAGGGAACCAGGATCGGGACCTGATCCCTGTGGCCTGAACCTACTCAAGGTTTGAAACCACCTCCCAGGACCAGAATCTGCTTTTCAGATCCAGATCACTGGTCAAATCTCTGTGACCTGGTCACATGACCATGATCAGTAACACGGGCCACACAAACAGGAAAAAGACAAGCAGTGACTCATTGCATTCTATCAAAGAAAAAGAACTTTCTGGTTCTCTGACGTCACATGACAAGCCCTGACTTGACCCAGCCAGAGAGGTACACATGTCTTGTTCACACCTGTGGTGAAGATCAGAAGCACGATGAGGAAGGCATAAAGAGCAGCTTTCCTTTGGTTCTGGGGCAGACGTAGAACCATGGGCGTGACACCATGCGTCTCAAGAGCTTCCCCAGACTCTGGCTGGATGAGGTTCATCTCCACTTGGGAATGTCCCTCACCTTTGGCTGCCCCACCACCTTCTCCCCGGCCACCCACTCCAGCCCTCTGTCAGAATACAGTGCATGAGCAGTGAGATTTATGGGAAAAGTACTGGAGAGAGGGACACTGTGAATGGGAAGAAAACTCACACCCTGACAGACACAATCGCTGGATAATGTTATGTTGCAAAGCCCTTTCAAAGGAAAACTCCTCCTAAACATGATTCCTTAACATGATTAATTTTTCCATAAATGTTTTGCATTATGGGACTGTTGTGAACTCCCAAGCTATCCCAGAATGCACAGGACACAAAGCAGGGGACACCCTGGATAGGATGCCAATCCTCTGCCAGGGTGCACACTCTCAACTCTCTGCAGCATTAAATCACTTAACTGTGTGTCTTTGGAATAAATCCTAGTAACAAAAATTTATTATTTGATAATGTGGCTGACTAAGCAGCAGCAGAGCCCACAACTCTCAGCTAAATGGCTGAATAGTTTTGAGTGTGTTCATGTGTTTCCACCACGTATTATTATTTTTCCTCAGTGTTCATGTGTACATACAGTTGTTTCCTAACACTAAACGAAGGTACAGTATGAAGGTGTGAGCGCTTTGTTTGGTTCTAGCATCCCCTTCTGGATATACCTCATATGACACCCTATGTTTGTCAAAACATGAAATGGCTGGTTTATTTCAACAAATAAACAATTGTAGTAATTTAACAAGACCTAGAGTTAGAGCGGTGTTACAATGTCTTACCCGTGTGAGTAAGGATGGGCCAGCCTCCATGAGTCTGTAGGGCTGTCCTGCTATAGCCTAAGAGAGTTTCAGAGATTGTGCAGTGATCAGAGTTCAGATTTAATCCAGTTTAATTGTACCGACAGATAGACTAAAAATGAGAATAATTCAGCAGTGTTTTTCCATTATTAGTCTATTACTGAAATAACACAAATAGTTACATGCTGCACCCGTATCGCGATTTCTGACCGATTTCCGATCGATCCTCTCAAAAGATTCCCAGGAGGCCGATTTCTGTTCGGTCAGATCAACACATACACGATAACGGTTCAAATTCCGGTTTTTGAAAACAAGAGCAAACACTTTTACTTCTCGGCACTCAGAAAAAGCAACGTTTTTTGGGGTGATGCAATTTGTGAGGGAGGGGGTGTTCGTGTCCTCCCTGCTCCTTCTCCCTGTCTGTAGCTGTAAGATAAGCGAAGGAAGGAATAACAGGCACACCCTGTCCGTGCGCGCACACACACACACACACCTGCACAGTGGGGTTTAAGAATTTTTCCTAGTAGCCAGCTGGACAAATGCGGTTAAATAAATAAATAAATAAATAAATTCTAACCCAGACAAATTTTGAGGAGCCCACAATGCACAATGTAATTCTCAAGCATAAACAACAACCAAAGCCGTCACATCTTACAATAAATTACTATGTAAAAAAGGTTATTTTCAGTAGGCTTATGTCATTTATTAATTTCCATAAGCAATTTACTAATTCGGTGCACCACGTGATTACACAGCGGGTGCATAGCCTATCCCTACCAGTCATCCAGCTATCCAAAAAAAATGTCTGATTCTCTCATCCCCATGTTTTTTCAATCTACATTAGGATGCTTCGCCGATGCATTAAATTAGTATTTCAATTTATTTTCAGTGTAGCTTGCCAATAGTACGTGGTCTCCATTAAAAATCTTCGCTCATACTATTCTTCCATTGCAATGTCAAAATTAACAAACGCCATAACAAAAAAATTACATGGCGTTATGACTTTAAAATTAATGCTAATGCATTAACGTTGACAGCCCAACATGCCTATTTTTTATTTTTTTAAACCCTTTGTGTAAATTACTCGCCCCACGCATAACATAGGATGTCACTGAGACAGTCACCCAAAGAAATTGAAATATATTGTCAAAAAACTAAGATAAATGTAACAAACAAACAAAACAAACTCCAAAGACACTTGATGACATGAAGGAATAGCATCAACAATGTGAAATAAATTCATTACACACAGGGTTACCAACTTTGGTCAGCTGACTGGCATGAGATTTTCAATTTGAGACAAGTCTGCACACACGTGCACACGCATTTACATGTGTGTAACACTTTTATTACATTGTAAATAGTCTGGAGGGTTTGCAAACTACCCCAACACTTTTGATTTAGCTAATTTTAGGTTCATAATGGAATAATATTCGTGACCCAGATGGATTAAGAGGTATAGATAATGGATGGATGGAATAATATACATTTGCCGTAGGATTTCTTGTGTGAGTGTGAGAGTCTAAAAGTGTGGCACTCCTGTGAGAGTTGGAATCCCTGTACACATATGCATTTTCATTATAGCAGGTCAGGTCAGGTCAAGTTGGAGGGCATGCGCTGGTCCAGCACGTTACCACACCCACCACACAATGAAACACCTCAGGATCCCGGTTGGTGACCCCCCAGGCCGACACACAGTCCATCCCCAACCCAGGTCCAGCCACTCAGGGCCTCAGCAGTGAGGATCCTGCGAGCCGGATCACACTCAGGGAAACGCGCCACATGGCCATAGTGCCGTGACTGACGCTCCCTCACAAAGTCAAACCAGCGGTACCCAAGGATTCTCCGAAGAGACACAGTACCGAAGGAGTCCAGTCTTCGTCTCAGCTCACTGGATAGCGTCCATGTCTCACAACCACACATTATAGCCATTCTCAAAAAATAAAACATTTCTCTCAATACCGAGGTGACATCCTCTCACTTATATGCCAAAATGAGTAACCCAACCAGGTTTTTTGCCATTTATACACAGGCAGACAAGAGACAGCCACAGATCATCGCCCCCAGGCGGTCCCCCCAGCTGTGATTGCTGAACTGCGGGCAGTGATTGAAGAAAGCGGGGGGCAGCTACTCCGTGTTGACTCCAGTTAACTTTATTAACCAAACTGCAAACATCGGCGTTCTCATGTCACTGCCTCCCCCACGCCGAACCGCCTGCCAGGGGACACAGAACACATCTGCCAAGGAATTAACATCGGTTGACTGGTGCTTCCGGTCATGCCAGACCTGTGGTCAATGATGTCTTTTTTTTCCCAGTTACTGTCTGAATAATAACCTACAGAATATGACAGTAAAATTTTGTAAATCCTTTAAAATATTTTGTGCCTCAGATTTCATGGCAGGTCAGGGGAAACACATTCATGTATTCACTTTTACAAATCTAGTGATGTGAAGAAAACAAAAGTTTGTAGAAGCTGATTTAGTTTTTCGGTAGTAATAATATATAAAATAATGTAGGGTGCCATAAATATGAATGGTTTTAACGTAATCTCTCATCACGGAGCACAACCTTCATTCGCTTTTATGTTCAATAGCTTATTATAATCATGCCAGTGACACATACCACAACTATGACTGTGAAACCAAACATCACTTCACTGCCAGATGTAAATTCCACCTTTAAAAAGTTTCAGAAAGGGGGTTCAGCTCACAAAGATGATGACATGGCCACTGATGCATACTGGGAAATATTCTTCTAAGCATCTAAAGCTAAGATATTTCTCCGTAGTTCAGCACTTCTGCGTCTTAAACCTCTGAACATCCCTGCACCCACATTTTAGACCAAACTGCAATAGGGGTCTAACAACCTCCTCTGATCTGGCTGAACTTTCAGGCTAATATGACATTAACTGCAGCCACTCGTATGACTAGGAGTAGCCAATCTGATTGGATTATGAAAAGGACGGTGATGTCACAGAAATTTTAAAATTATTAGGAGATATTTCAAAACATCACAATTTTCTAATTTCATCCTGCAATAGACTAATGAACATCTTTCTGCTAGTTTCACACTGACATATGTACACATCTAGCCTATGAGAGCTGGGGCTCAGTCTCACATCGAGTCATAAGCAACACATAGGGACGTGACCTTTAACCTCAGCTGTGCTCTACGGTTGGGCTTCCCAGCCTGACGATGACCGCGGACCAGTTCGCTTTCTGCAAAATTTCACAGATATGTGTGCGTGTGTGTGTGTGGGGGGGGTTCTGGTAGTGAGCTGATCAGCAGTTTTCATTTTGGATGCAATGGAGACATGTGGATATTGGGGATTGTTTAAAAAAAAAAAAAAAAAAATATATGAAAAATATATAGTCTAATTTTGGAAATTGACAAACCCCACCGCAAAACTCCCAGGATCCCGCAGCCTGGGGGGACACCGGCGGGTCAGGGTGGGGAGTCCCAGCCACATGGCACTGCTCATTGTCACTCACACTGACTCCCAGAAAGACGTCTTAAGAAAATATTAATTTTGTTTTTCAGTAGCGAACAATAATCAGATTATACAGCAGAGATCCAGGTGATGGTCTGTTTTGCTAAAATAGTAAATAAAACTCCACAGTTTCTTGAGTGTGACTAAAATAGATGCATAAAATTTTAAAGCCAAATTTCTTATAAAATTTTTAGAATAATTCTTAAGGAGATTTTTTATGAAGCGTCTTTCACAGACACAAAGCGCTGAACATAATGACAAAACATTAAAACAGACCCAACATACAGAAGATTAATTTTAAATTAGGATTGTAAAGGACACATGTGCTGTTAATCCTCTGTTACTGGCCACGTGGGCTTCAAGGGCACAACCCAGACGAACTCCACAGACCCCTGGGACCCAGAGAGGTGGGACAAGGCAAAGCACAAGAGATTCTGTACAAATAACACTGATCCCATAGTGATGTCCCCGGCACAGAGCCGCAGGTTTCTAATGACCCCCAATCCCCCTCTTAACAAAATCATTTATACCCACAGTCATACAGACTATATTTTAAAATAACTTTTAATGGACAATTCAATCCACAGTCCTGTTTACCTCTGTGTAAACACACACACACACACACACACACACTCACTCACTACAAATACAGCTTACGGTCAAAGACCACCCCCCGCCCCCACCAAAAAAAAAGAAGAGCCACTGTAAAACACAGATTATGGGATTATTTTTGGTAAATGTGGCAGGTAGGTTTACAGGAGTCCAGTGCAGCGCTAGATGCAGTTAGAAAGAAGTTATGTCCGTACTCACCCCTTCCCCTATCTGCCTCCCTGCAAACTGCACTCGTGAAACCTTGATACGACACTATCTTTAAAAACTCTGCCCGTCGAGGATTCCAGTTATCGCTCCTCCCAGTGTGACTTCCCTTGCACGCTATTGGCCAGAGGACAGGATATGTGTGTGCGTGTGCATGTGTGAAAGACGTTCGACTGTGCAAGGGAAGCCCTCAAGATGCATCATGGGAATAGTTGATTTGTAGAGGAACTGGAATTGTTTTGATCCTGGCACGGCGCTGGTAATTAACAAAGAAAATTCACAATCACTAAACCAGCAGACACCTCCCTATCTAATCACTTAAATGAACTGTTTTATATTCTCTGGATGGGGAATCATATCGTTTTGGAACTAGCCACAGACACTTAATGTGATAACTCAAAAAGTTTTTGACGGACCTGTTTCAAGCTAAGCAGACACATCATATAGGTGAAAATCTGATTTTGGGACAAATCACAGCAAATTTGGCCACATAATGGTAGTAAAGAGAAATGCAGACTCATGCAGATTTGGTGAGCCTAATTACAGTGTTGGACTTTTGATAGAGATGTTTTTGTAGAGATGGGGAGTGTGGGGAGTGTGGAAGGATTAGGGATTAGATGGGTGGGAGGGCTTGAGGGAGCCGTCTGGGGAATACATTGCTATTACTCCAACAGCATCAACCAACTTTGGATCTCATCACTCCCATTCAGGGAACCAAGGAGGGGCATTCCTGGCCAGAGGGGACACGGCAAGCAAACGTTCCAGTCAACTTTCGATGAAGTTAGCAGGAGACACACCTCCACCAGAAGAGCATAAATATACTGCAGAGACATGAATAAACCCCTCTAGCAAACCTCGGCAGAAGTTATGACATTTTATTTAATAAATAGCTATGAACACATTCTTATATTTACAGAAATAAACAAACAGAAACAAAAATATTGAATTTCATCCATTCAGGGACCCGGTGCTGACGCAAAGCCTCATTCCCAGGCTTGCCATGGGCTCAGTTCCAAGCAGGATACCTGCAGAGGGTCTGCCATCTTGGTGACAAACTCTCTC